CTAGCCACAAAGGGACTTCCTTTTCTGCGGACTGCAACGGGACTTTCTTTGTGGAGGATTACAAAAGGATTTCTACTGTTTCTCCTATGTTTCCTATTTCCACTGTTCTCCCCTGAACATAATCTCATGTGTTCCGTTTCCCCGCTGTGTTTCTACAGGAATAATCAGATGGTTCCTTTTGTTCCTGTTTGTCCGCAGCTTGTTCGGAGGGGAGAACGCCTTCCCTCTGAGGCGGATTACAAAGGAAGTCCTTTTGTGCTGAGTTCAAAGGGATTCCTTTCTGCGGAGAGTTACATCGGGATTCCTTTCGTGGGGGAAGACAGAGGGATTCCATGTGTGGCTAGCCACAAAGGGACTTCCTTTTCTGCGGACTGCAACGGGACTTCCTTTGTGGAGGATTACAAAAGGATTTCTACTGTCTCCCCAATGTTTCCTGTTTCCCCTCTTCTCCCCTGAAGATAATCTCATGGGTTCCTTGTCCCCGCTGTGCGTTTACATGTGGTTTCTGTGTGTTTCTGGTTGGTCCTGTTCTTCCGTACCTGGTTCGGAAGGGAGAACGCCTTTTTCGTCTGAGGCGGTTTACACAGGGAGTCCTCTTGTGCGGAGTTATATAGGTTTCCTTTTTTGTGGAGACGTACGGCGGCATTCCTCTCGTGGGGGAAAACAGAGGAATTCGATGTGTGGCTAGCCACAAAAGGGTTTCCTTTCCTGCGGGCTGCAAAGGGACTTCCTCCGTGGAGGATTACAAAGTGTTTCTATTGTATCTCCAATGTGTCATATGTCTCCGCTTCTCCCCTGGGGATAATATCATGTGTTCCTTTTCCCCGCCGTATGTTTTATAAGTTTTGTCATATGTTTCCCGTTGTCTCTGCTTTTCCGTTCCTTGTTCGGAAGGGAGAACGAATTTCCTCTGAGGCGGATTACAAAGGGAGTCCTCTTGTGCGGAGTTCACAGGGACTCCTCTTTGTGGACGGGTTACGGCGACATTCCTTTCGTGGGGGAAGGCAGGGGGATTCCATTTGTGGCTAGCCACAAAGGGACTTCCTTTTCTGCGGACTGCAACGGGACTTCCTTTGTGGAGGATTACAAAAGGATTTCTACTGTCTCTCCAATGTTTCCTATTTCCCCTCTTCTCCCCTGAACATAATCTCATGTGTTCCGTTTCCCCGCTGTGTTTCTACAGGAATAGTCATATGGTTCCTGTTGTTCCTGTTTGTCCGCACCTTGTTCGGAAGGGAAGAACGCCTTCCCTCTGAGGCGGATTACAGAGGAAGTCCTTTTGTGCTGAGTTCAAAGGGATTCCTTTTTGTGGAGAGTTACATCGGGATTCCTTTCGTGGGGGAAGACAGAGGGATTCGATTTGTGGCTAGCCACAAAGGGATTTCCTGGTGTGCGGTCTGCAGAAGGGACTTCCTTCGTGGAGGATTGCAAAAAGATGTATGTTGTCTCTCCAATTGTTCATATGTTCCCTTTTATCCCCTGGAGATGATCTCAGTTGTTCCTTTTCCCCGCTGTGCATTTACAGGTGTTTTCTGATTGTTCATTTGTTCCTTGACGTTTCTGCACCCTGTCCGGAGGGGAGAAGGCCTTTCCTCTGGGGCGGATTACAACGGGAGTCCTCTTGTGCGGATTTCAAATGGGATTCCTTGTGTGGGTGATAACAAAGGGATTCCTTTTGTGGGGGAAGATAAAAGGATTCCTGGAGATTCAACGATATTCACTAAACAAGAAACACGACAAAGCCGCACATCAGACAACACAACGCAAACGAACATAGCAGACATCAAAACAAGCCGTTGCACCTCACACATCGCACCGCCACCATGGCCCGTACTCCATTTGACAGTGGGGCCCCACTGTCAAATCGCCACTCGGGGCCCCCAGCCTGGGCCCTCGGATACGCATTTGACAATCGGGCCCCACTATTAAATGGCCATTCGGGCTCCTCCCTCCGCTGGATCCCCCCAACTTCCTTTGAATCCATTCGGGCGCTTTGAAATTATTACAGCTTCCGCGGGGTTCCTTTACATTATTAGGGGTTCTTCTGGGTTCCTTTGGGCTCCTCATGGTTCCTGCACATCTCACCAGATTAATTTTCATGTTTTTGGGTCCCTCGAGCTTCCAGGTTCATCCTGCGTCCTTTCGATTCCCCGATGATTCCTCAGGACTCCTTCCGATTCACGCAAATTCTTTTGGTTTCTTCACATTTCCAAACCATCCGAATGTTCCGTCGGACACCTCAGGATTCACTTGGAATACTCCAGGTTTCCTGGAGTCCAAAGGAATCCTCTTGATCCTCGTGCATTCTTTCGGACTTCCCCAGATTCCCCAAAACTTCTCCAAACTCCTTTAGATTCCTCTAAACTCGAAAACGTCGCACGGCCTCCTCATTTTAAGTTGGGGCCCCCATGCCAAATAGCAATTCGGCACCCCCCCACCGTCTGGATTCTCCCAACTTTCTCTGGACTCATCTGGGTGCTTTCAAATTCTCGCCCCCAAAATGAATTTTTGACAGCGGGGCGTCACCGTCAGATGCCTATGCCCCCCCATTGGATTCTCCAAACTTGTTTTGGATTCCGTTGGGTGCCTTCAAATTCTTCCGAAATCCATGGACTTCTTTTAGTTTCCCAAGGGTTCCTCTGAGTTTCTCTGGGCTCCTCGAAAGTCCTGCAAATGTTGCAGGGTTCCTTTCGATTCCTGTGGGTTCCTTTGGATTCCTGCTGATACTTCGGCATTCCTCTCGATATCCTTCTGGCTCATCCGAAATTCTTCAGAACCCTGCTCACTCTTGGGGCGATCGCCCGCCGCGCGCGCGCCGGGCACGCGCCCGCCGCACCCCCTGCTGCCCCGAAACGTGCGAAGGCGTGCCCGTGCCCCCTCCCTCCCCCTGAGGCCACGAAACGTGCGAGACGTGCGAGAGTGAGTGTACGAAAAAGACGGGGGAACCGCATGCGAACTCCGCCACTGGGACCTTCGGTGGAGCTCCATCTACGGGGCCGCGAGACGTGAACGGTGTGCCGCAATGGAGGCGGAACCGCATGCGAACGCCGCCACTGGGGCCTTCGGCGGAGCTCCCTATGGGGCCACAAAACATGTGAGAGGTGTGCCGAAACGGGGGTGGAACCGCATGCGGACGCAACCACTGGGGCCTTCGGTGGGCCCCCTCATGAAGCCGCAAAACATGTGAAGGGTGTGCCGAAATGGTGGCGGAACCGCTTGCGAACGCAGCCATGGGGGCATCTGGTGGAACTCCCCATGGGGCAGCAAAACCTGTGAGGGGTGTGCCGACATGGGGGCGGAACCGCATGCGAACGCAACCACTGGGGCCTTCGATGGAGCTCCCTATGGGGCCACGAAGCGCTGTCCTGGGTGGCGGTGACGCATGCGGCCTGTGCCACTGGAGCCTTCGGTGGAGTTCCCTATGGGGCCACGAAACGCTGTCCTGGGTGGCGTTGACGCATGCGGCCTGTGCCATTGGAGCCTTCGGTGGAGCTCCCTATGGGGCCACGAAACGCTGTCCTGGGTGGCGTCGACGCATGCGGCCTGTGCCAGTGGAACCTTCGGTGGAGCTCCCCATGGGGTCTTCGGTGGTGCTCTATGTGGGGCCACGAACCGTGTGAGAGGTGTGCCAAAATGTGGCGGCGGCGATAGTGATGACCACGATGATATGGAACATGACGATGGCGATGATGATGACAATGATAACGATGACGATGGCGATGACGAGGCGGATGGGAGGAGGGAAGAGAGGGAGGAGGGAGGGGACAGCGGATGGAGGTGAGACGCGGGGCGCTGTCTCTTCACAACGAGGACCCAACACCCCAGGATGGCTGGGAAAGAGATTGTGCGTAGCAGCAGATAGATCGCCCGCAAAGGCTGAGGGAACAAGGGCAAGCCGAAGGTGCAGCCGTTCGACCCCACGAAGTAAGGGGCCCATAGCACAGGCACATAGAAGTCCCCTTAGAGGGCACCATTGACGAATACCACGAAGTGCCAGGAGGCCCCTGAAACTCTTGGAACCGATGAAGATGTAGCATATCACATTCTCGTAGAAGGCCTCCAGAGCCTTCAAGATGACCTTGGACAGCCCGACCACGGCCAAAACGACGAAGAGCCAGGAGTGGAACACAGATGCAAAGGCTGCTTTCACATCGAAGGTGGCTCCGCCAACTCTTCAGCGTCGCCAGAGACCCCCGCAGCGCCAGTGCTCCTTCAAAATGTTCCACATGATCCACAAGCTTCCTTCCCCGAATAAATCCTCGTTGCGTGTTGTGAAGGTGCTCTTGGGTGAAAGGTTTACGAGGTGGGCAATTCCATGGTCCGCGAGCTTCTGACCAGCACTACTGAGCGCCAAAGGACGAGTGTTCTCAGCTGATTTACTAGCACGGCCATTGGGGGAAGGTCACCCTTCGGGGGAGGCCACCCTGCTGCTGCAGCGATCCGTTGATCGTCGTCAGTTTGTTGTCGATCTGCTCGCCGATGGCAAGTCTGTGCTGAGAGAATGATCGTACCAGCGAACCTATCCGCATATGCCCACCCCCTGGGGGACAGCGCCCGCACTATGAGTCGGGATGCCCCCCAGAGACGCGTGCGCCTGAAGGGCAGCGCACAGTGAGGTATGAGGTACAGCTATGCAGGTGCTGCCACCGCCCAGCCCTGCACCATCGTACACATAGGCAGCCTGCATGCTCTCAGCGATGGCGGCAGCAACGACAGCCTGGATCCCAGCAGCCTCCATTGCGCCAGCGCCGAGGTAATGAGACCCTGTGGCGCTGTACCTGAAAGTGTGTCCGCCTGAGCTCGCACTCAGGATCGCTCCTTCTAGAAGAGCTGCACACTCGAGAAGTCCCCCCGCGCATCTTGAGCCACAATGGCTTGAGCCAAAATAGCTACGGAGGAGGAGGAGAAGGAGGAGGAGAAAGGGGAGTGCCTCCCTCAGGGTGACTCCATCCTCCGAAGGCCAGTTTGGGTGCCCAGGCCACGGCGCCCGGCTGCATGTCCCTGGGCGGGGCCGACGTGGAGAGCTGACCCATCGTCGGCGACGTCGGCGACGTTGGCGACATCTCCTGCCGCTGGGGCGGGCGGTCAGGTCAGGTCAGGTGGCCGTACGCCCAACGGCGCGTCGGCAGGCGCAACATGATGAGTGAACCCGCACGGACGGAGGAGAAGAGGACGTGCGAAGGCAGAGAGGGACGCACGACGAGCGAGGGCGCAAGGCGAGGCGGGGCGTGCGAAAGAGGGATGCTCGGGGGAGAGCGGAGAGGAGAGGGGGGAATGGCCTGCGGCGAGAAGCTCTGCAACTGAAATGCCGCGGCTGGGAAGGAGACTGGGGAGGTGAAGGATTTGTTGTCCGACTGGGAAGGAGGAGTGGAAGAGGGGGGGGAGTTGTTCCGATCGGGCCACCTCATCATCATCATCATCATCATCATCATCATCATCATCATCATCATCATCATCATCATCATCATCATCATCCATCATCATCATCATCATCATCATCATCATCATCATCATCATCATCATCATCATCATCATCATCATCATCATCATCATCATCATCATCATCATCATCATCATCATCATCATCATCATCATCATCATCATCATCGCATCATCATCATCATCATCATCATCATCATCATCATCATCATCATCATCATCATCATCATCATCATCATCATCATCATCATCATCATCAGCAGCATCATCAGCATCGTCATCATCGTCATCATCATCGTCATCATCTCATCGTCTCATCATCAGTCATCAGCATCATCATCATCCTCATCCTCATCCTCATCCTCATCATTATCATCATCATCATGATCATCAGCATCGTCATCATCATCATCATCATCATCATCATCAGTATCATCAGCATCATCATCATCATCATCAGCATCATCAGCATCATCATCATCCTCATCATCATCATCGCCATCATCCGCATCAGCATCAGCATCAGCATCATCATCATGATCGTCGTCATCAACATCATCAGCAGTAGCAGCATCATCATCATAATCAGCATCATCAGCAGCAGTAGTGTAACCACCACCATCAGTAGCATCATCATCATCAGCATCAGCAGCAGCAGCATCAGCATCATCACCATCATCATCATCAGAATCGCCGTCATCATCAGCAGCATAATCATCAGCATCAGTATCATCAGCAGCAGCATCATCACCATCATCATAATCATCATCATCATCAGCAGCAGCAGCCTCATCATCGTCAGTATCGTCATCATCGACATCATCGACATCATCGTCATCGTCATCGTCGTCATCATCGTCATCGAAATCGTCATCTTCGGCTTCACCATCAGCAAAAGCAACAGCATCATCAGCAGTATCAACAACATCGATATGGATGGACGGACCTCTACGGAGGGGCATGCCCGTAGCGTCAATTTCTGCGCCGACTGACCGTCCAGCGATGCGCGCCAGATGCCCTGCCTGCAACGCATCCAGCAAAAAACTGCCACTCAACCTCGGTCAGGCCTGGTGATGCTGGCGAGGAAGCGGAGGAGGATGAGAGCGGGAGCGAGCGAGCGAGAGAGAGAGAGAGAAAGAGAAAAAAAAAAAAAAAAAAAAAAGGAAGGGAGGGAGGGAGAGGAACCCATCGTGCCCATCCTCCTCACATGATTCCTCTGCCATGTTGCTACTGATCCTCCTCACCCTCATTTGAAAAGACCGCCGTCGAATCTAGAAATTCTGACGTTACGACAGCAGCTGAAAACGGGCATCTTCGTTTGGGGCGCCACCCAACCAATACCAACTTGGGACTAGTAGAATCATCCTCCGTCGAGATGCGGCCCATTGTCGTAGTCGTGCTCAAAGCGAGTGAGAAGTCCAGAACTGAGGCATGCAGCGATGCCATGTCAGTGGCCAGGCGCTTAAATATCCTCAATCGCAAGGTCGTCGAGCATTGGAAAAGTGGCACCATGGGGCGACGGCCCACGGAGAATTTTGGACTGGTTGTGACGCTGGTGGCTGTTGTTACTCCTCATCCCTCCTCGTCATCCGCAGCAGTATCACGTCGCCGAGGCCAAGATCGGCCGCTTCCAGAACCAACTCGTTTGTATTATCAGATGTTGTCGACCTCTGTTGTTGCTCATGCTTGAGTCCTCGAGGCCTCCTCCTCCTCCTCCTCCTCCTCCTCACCCTCCTCCTCCTCCTCCTCATCCTCCTCCCCCTCCTCCTCCTCCTCATCCCGACCGCCCCGACCCCCTCGCCTCTGCCGCCGTGCCTGGCTGCTTCTGCCAATACTCCTCCTGCGCGCTCCCCCTCACCCCTCCTGCACCCCAGCACCAGACCCGCCACTCGCTGGCCAGGGCCATGGAGAAGGCGGCAGAGCCACTTGCGCGCCAGGTGCGACCCCGCGTAGGGCTAGAGCACGGAGCGAGGCCAGAGGAGAGGCCACACGGGGTGCCGCCGAGACCGCCGGTGCTGGCCCGAAGAAGCGCCCCCGTGATGCGGCCCCCGGCAGGGCTGGTGATTCCCTGTCGAGCCACCTGCCCCCCGCATGTGCGAGGGGCCTAGCTCTGGAGGCCTGTACATGGGCACCAACACCAACGCAGGGGGTTGCCTCCACAGGGGGAAGATTATCCTCGATTTCGGTGTTGGTGGTAATAATTCGGTCACCTTGGAAGCCAGAATATTACCACCATCACCGAGATCGGGATCTTCTTCCCTCGGTGGAGGCACACTGCCGATATTGGTGCTTGTGTCAACCTCTAGGCCTGCGATAGCTGTCAAGCTCCAGGCCCCCTGAGTCAAAGCATGCTGACGACTCGCTCTTACTTCCGCCGCACCCCGCCAGCCTTCCGCCATCTTCCACCCGCCCCCGCCGCCGTGCTGCCTCCGCCGGCCGCCGCCAGCCTTCCGCCTCCTTCTGCCGGAGGCGAGCAGCAGCGCGGAAGACGAGGCCATTTCTGGACCATCTAAATCGTATGCCGCCGTCCTCCCTGCTCCCTCCTCCCTCCTCCCTCCTTCCTCCTCCCCCTCCCCCCCTCCCTCCCCCTCCTCCCCCTCCCCTCCTCCTCCTCCTCCTCCTCCTCCTCCTCCTCCTCCTCCTCCTCCTCCTCCTCCTCCTCCTCCTCCTCCTCCTCCTCCTCCTCCTCCTCCTCCTCCTCCTCCTCCTCCTCCTCCTCCTCCTCCTCCTCCTCCTCCTCCTCCTCCTCCTCCTCCTCCTCCTCCTCCTCCTCCTCCTCCTCCTCCTCCTCCTCCTCCTCCTCCTCCTCCTCCTCCTCCTCCTCCTCCTCCTCCTCCTCCTCCTCCTCCTCCTCCTCCTCCTCCTCCTCCTCCTCCTCCTCCTCCTCCTCCTCCTCCTCCTCCTCCTCCTCCTCCTCCTCCTCCTCCTCCTCCTCCTCCTCCTCCTCCTCCTCCTCCTCCTCCTCCTCCTCCTCCTCCTCCTCCTCCTCCTCCCTCCTCCTCCTCCTCCTCCTCCTCCTCCTCCTCCTCCTCCTCCTCCTCCTCCTCCTCTCCTCCTCCTCCTCCTCCTCCTCCTCCTCCTCCTCCTCCTCCTCCTCCTCCTCCTCCTCCTCCTCCCCTCCTCCTCCTCCTCCTCCTCCTCCTCCTCCTCCTCCTCCTCCTCCTCCTCCTCCCCTCCTCCCCCCTCCTCCTCCTCATCCTCCTCCTCCTTCTCCTCCTCCTCCTGCTGATGCGATTTTAGGGTTGTGTCAGATGCGGTTCTTCTTCGAAGCGTGCGGATTGCTCTCAGCTAGCACGGATCACTGCAAACCCCGGGCCACTGCAAGATGCCCATCGATCGGACGAAGTGGGCAGAAGCATGAAGTAGGGAGGTGTTGAAAGAAGATTAGGTTTCCGCCTGCCCCCCGAAGAGGGAAGATGGAAAACACTCGACTCGTGAAATAGGAAGGCACCTCAAATAGACTGGGATCTGAGAGCTGCCAAAAAATTGCTCAACTACCCATGAGTAGCCCTCCGCAAAAAGTGGCGCCGATGTGATTTCGCTCCCGGGCGCCGCCTCGAGACGGGGGAAAGGGACACCTCATCGCCACGCCCCGAAGGCTCCAGGTCACGGGCCCTGTTGGGCAGTGGCTGGAGTTCGTCGTGCAATGCACGCTCCTGCAGTCAGCAGACACACACGATGAGAACTCTTGCGAAAGATAATCTAAGGACACATGTGTCCGTTTGTCGATGTTTCGCTGTCCAACAGTGTCCCCTGGCTTCTGAGGGTCCCCAGGGCCTCTGGGTGATAAGAACTTGTCATGGGGCACCTGCTGACAGACTGGTTTCTTACTTGTCGTGCACCCTGTACGATGCGAACGTTCGTTAAATTGTGACTTCTTCTCCTGGAGTCGCCAGCTGTTCGTGTTCATCCGATCCGTTACCACGGGGCCTTCGGCTGGGCATCGAGCGTTTCGGAACATCCCAACATGTGAGTGACTGTGCGTTCTCACCTCTTCCTGCTGCTTCCATCCGCCCCGCATCCTGATAATGCGCGGAGGTTCGTGACATCAGCATCACCACCATCAGCATCATCATCAACAACCACATCATCACCAGCCTTCATCATCATCATCATCATCATCATCATCATCATCATCATCATCGTCATCATCATCATCAACATCATCAGCATCATCATCATCATCATCATCAGCATCATCATCATCATAATCATAATAATCATAATAATAATAATAATAATAGAAATAATAATAATAATAAGAATAATAATAATATCAATAATAATAATAATCAGCATCAGCATCATCGTCGTCATCATCGTCATCGTCCTCGTCATCGACATCGTCATCGTCACCCTCAGCGTCATCATCGTCATCATCATCGTCATCATCAACATCATCACGATCATCACCCTCATCATCACCATCATCAGAATTACTATCACCATCATCATCATCATACTCATCATCATCAGCATCCTCATCATGTTAGGCCTCTCCAGTTGAACCATAACGAGTATCATCACCATCAGCCTCAGCATCGCCAGCATCGCAATCACCAATATCATAATCAGCAGCAGCAGCATCATCAGCACCAGCATTAGCATCATCATCATCACCGTCATCAGCATCATCACCATCCACAGCATCAGCATCGCCGTCGTCATCACCATCTCATCATCAGCATCATCAGCACCACTCGTAATCAGCAACATCAGCATCGTCATCATCATCAGAATCAGCATCAGCATCACCATCGTCATCATCATCATCATCATCATCATCATCATCATCATCAGAATCAGCATCAGAATCTGCATCAGCATCATCATCGTCACCCTCATCATCACCATCATCAGTATCCTCATCAGCATCAGCACCATCATCAACATCACCAGCATCAGCATCCTCATCATCATCATCGTCATCAGCATCATCAGCAGTATCATCATCAGAATCAGCATCATCATTACCATAGTTTAAAATGTCGTAAGCGATAGCAGCATCAGTATCAACCTCATCGTGATCATCACCAACACCACCGTAATCGGCGTCGTAATCACCGTCATCGGCCTTGTCACTTTCATCATCGTCATCCCCGTGATCCATCATCATCATCATCGTCGTCGCCATCTTCGTCATCGTCATCATCATCATCATCATCATCCGCAGCATCATCATCAACATCATCATCATCACCAGCAGCTTCATCAGCAACATCATCATCATCAACAACATCGCCATCCTCGTCATCATGACCGTCATCATCCTCAACATCACCATAAGCATCACCGTCAGCATCATCGTCAACATCAGCATCGCAATTTAGATGTAGACATGCTCTTACACCAAGCACCCGATGCGACGCGAAGCCCAACGTGCGAATAAGAAAACGAGTGCTGCACTGTGAGTGGAGACTTGGCACACATGCGCCAATCCTCCTGCTCCTCCTCCTCCTCATCCTCCTCCTCCTCCTCCTCCTCCTCCTCCTCCTCCTCCTCCTCCTCCTCCTCCTCCTGCTCCTCCCTCGCCCCCCGCTCTTGTGATGTCGCGATCGTCACAGTAGTCGGTCCTTCTCCGCAGCAGCGGGCCTCCCCCACCCTGCGCGGCCCACCCAACGCCCCCCACCCCAGGAGCGCTGGCCTTCCAGGGCGCGAACTCCGCGGGGGCCCTGCCACACAGGCGACCCGCCACCTGGCGTCCGCGGCGGCCACGCGCCCGCCCCCGGCAGGCCAGGCAGACAGGCGGGCAGAGTAGGCAGGCCAGCTCGGCCAGCATGGGTAGCCAAGGGCCGATGGAGCGTTCCTCCTATCTCTCTCTCTCTCTCTCTCTCTCTCTCGTTCCTTCTCCTCCTCCTCCTCCTCCTCCTCCTCCTCCTCCTCTTCCTCCTCCTCCTCCTCCTCCTCCTCCTCCTCCTCCTCCTCCTCCTCCTCCTCCTCCTCCCTGTCAGACTCCAGACAAAAGTTGGGTGGGTGCCTCCCTGAAGGCCTTCGAATGTTCAAGGGGCGGTCCCCGTCCGGCAAAAACAACAAGCACACAACAAGGATTGCCCACTGCCACTTTCGCTCAAGTTGACCCCGTTCGAGCCGAGGAAGCAACGATATCATTATCTCTCTGTCTCTTTCTCTTTCTCTTTCTCTTTTTTCTCTCTCTCTCTCTCTCTCTCTCTCTCTCTCTCTCTCTCTCTCTCTCTCTCTCTATGTCCATGCATGTATAGCTTGTTATTCACGTATGTATATTATACATATATATATATGCATCCCTCTCTCGATGTAGATATATACAAGGCAGCTCTCAACACATCTGATCTTTAAAATGTAAGCATTTTAATACACGATTAATGCATGAACAAATGTATGCATGAATTAATCGTTGTTTGTTGTACTCAATCCCTGCATATGTAATACATGATCCGCACGCGGAGCATGTATCAAAAACGGCACTGTAAGTGTCGCTTCCTCTCTTTCTCTTCTTCTCTCGTTCTCTTTCTCTCTCTCTCTCTCTCTCTCTCTCTCTCCGTCTCCAGGACGGTTGGTGAACGGGCGAATGCGGGACATGCCCGCGATTGGGTTTAAAATCCACAACAGGGTGCTACATAAGCAATGCTGATCCGAGCGCCCCTGCCTGAACAGACGTTCCCTGCCGCCCCCTCCAGTCGGGAGGAGTGGCGGAGAAGCTCGCCCGAGCTAACCCCCATGATATAGCTGGGGCATTAATAAACAAAAAACAAAACAAAAACAAAAAAAAACGCCCACAGGGTGGAGGTTCCATCTGCTTGAGAGTAGGAGGCCACCGACGGCGGAACAGGGCACACCAAGGGAGAACAGGCGCAGCACGTGGCGATGCAGGCCCCACGGAGGGAGGGCACCAAAGGCCGAGAGGCCACCCCTCGCACTGCCCCCTCGCCTCCCCCCGCTCTGCTCTGCCTCGCCCCCCTCGAGCAGGAGAAGCACAAAGAGGCACAAACAGAAGCAAAACAAAACAATGTCGGAGATCCGCGCGGAATACAGAGACAAAACAAAACACCTCCCCCCGTTCTGCTCCGTCTCGCCCCCCTTCGAGCAGGAGAAGCACAAAGAGGCACAAACAAAAGCAAAACAAAACAATGTCGGAGATCCGCGCGGAGTTCGTGGACCGGCGCTGGACCGCCGCTCCTGGCGCGCGGAGCGCCGCCGGAGGGGCCCACGCACCGATCCACAACACCAGCGCGGACCGCCGAACTTATGATTAGGTCGGGCATGTCCCCCTACAGGCGGATTTTGGACGAAAAACCAAGAACAGTCAACAGAGGCTCAGACATGAACAAAAAGACTCGACACATCGCCCCCAGACCAATGTTTTTTGGCTATTTTGGAATCTTCCTCCTGCAGAAGAACACGCCCGAATGCGCACAGGACAGGGGCGCCGCGGCCGGGGTGGGCCTCCGGGCCCCCTGCGCCGCCGGAGCTCCGCCGACGAGCCGAGGGAACGGCCCCGACCAGCGGCGTGCGGCCGAGGGCCTGGCCGGAGGCCACCGGCGCGCGGCGCCGCGCCGCGCGGCGCCTCGCGCGCAAAGGGGCGGAGGGCTCTCCACGGCCCCAGAGCTCCCCAGCGCCCCAAGGCGGCCCAAGGAGGCCCAGAGGACGGCCTCCGCAGGGCAAGAGAAGTGCCCCCAAGAGGCCCCCAAGAGGCCCAGCGTTCAGGGAGCCCCCAGGAGGCCCAGCCGAGAGCGAAGCTGACACGGGATCGCACACGCACAGCGCCATCCTCTGCGGGGGCGCCTGGACGGAGCCTTCTGCGCAGAGAGAGAGAGCGCCCCGCGCAGATAGAAGCGGGCGCCTCGCACGAGGCCGCGCAGCTGGGCGCCGCAGCGCCGGAGAGGAGGGACCCCCGCGCGGACGCTGGAGAGGGAAGCTCGCGCACGACGACGGGCGCGAGGCCCGAGACCGACGGCACGATGGACCAGCAGGCAAGCTGATCATGCGCCATTTGTCATTCGCCACCTGCTCGCGCACCTCCTCGTCGCGATTCAGGGGGGAGGTGGCTTTCATCGAACATGAACACATTGAACCTCTCCTGGCTGACAGGGTAGCGATGCGACTGGGGCACCCACGCCGTGACGCTGGCAAACAGCATCAAAGGAGATGACCGGGCTGTACCTTGACGACGGACAAGTGTTCCTTGATCTTAATGTCTTGCCTGCGATCTCCACCGACTGGACGAAACTGCACGGCACCTCTTCTCTGTGAGTCCTGATCAAGCATGTAAGCTTGAGAACAATCTGGCAAACCGAAACTGAGCTGACCAACTCCCACTGCACGGTCATCCGCAGCAGACACAGGGACTGCAGCGACCTCTTTCGCAACTTGGCCACTAACAAATGAAGGCTGCGAAACGGGTCCCTGCATCGGCTCGAAACTCTAATACTCCTCCTGATCAGCAAAGGGGTCCAGTTCCACATCATCAAGTCCACGGCACTGACCTTGACGTGCGACGGAAAGCCTGACCGCGCCAATCGTCGCCTCCCGACTGTCCCCAGACGGAGCCCCAGGCTGCTTGTGCCCGTCGGGCCCAGGGGCCAGGGGGCCGCAGGCTGCCGCAGCCTGCGCTTGACACCGATGAAGATGGGCCGCAGAAGAAATGGCCACGCCTGTCTCAGCCTCCCATCTGTCCCCCGACGGCACCCCTGGCTGCTGGCTCCGGGTCCAGGGGCCAGGGGGTCGCAGGCCTCCGCAGGCGACGGAATACCACCAACGAGGTATGCCAATGAAGACCTGGCCACACACACACACACACACACACACTCATCACACACACACACACATCACACACACACACACACATCACAGCCTCTCAACTGTCCCCTGAAGATGCCGCAGGCTGTTGGCGCCCGTCGGGCCCAGACAGACAGGAAATCACGAGCCTCGGCAGCCTGCACTTGACACCGACCGACGTGGGCCGCGGAAGACCTGGCCACGTCCAGCACGGCTCCCCAACTGCCCCTTAGCGGTGCCCTAGGCTGCTTGCAACCGTCGGGCCCACGGGCTTGCAACCATCGGGTCCATGGGCTAGGGGGGTTACAGGCCTCCGCGGCCAGTGGACGCAGTAGCTGAAAATCACCTCTGTCAACTTCATCCCTTGAAACCATAACTGTACTCAACTCATCACTTCCATCTCGCACGACCTGGTTAACCAAAGGCTCTTGACGACGAGCCCTAGCGTCCAGACGAGCAACCAACGTAGTACCCATCTGAAGGCTGCCCTGCAGCGTCTCGGTTGATGACTTGAGGCTCTCCTTTTCATGCTTAACCGCTGCCGCTTGACTGCTGCCTGACCTGGACGCTCCAGCCCCCGTTGTCTGAGCGGCTGCGGCTGCTAATACTGCTGGGCTGCCACTGTTGCCCTTACGCTCTTGACCTTCCCAGCATGCTGCTTACGAAGATCTTCAGATTGGGCCAAATCCTCGCAACAACAATAAGGCTCACGTGAATTCGGCTTGAAGAGATTAGCCAATTCTGCCTGACGCTTGACGAACTCTGCCTCCCCCCGGGCAAAAACTCATACTTGCTGTGATCCTCACC